GTTTGACCATGGAAAAATTTGAAAATTTGCCTCATTGGACGAGTTTGTACGAAATCAACAAATTGCAACAAGTCGAATAAAACATTCAGAAGCATTTCAAAAGGATTTTAAATACTATCTTTATCGGGAAAAGACACGGTATTAAGTTATGGAGGATGACAGTTGTTCAAAACGGATTTTGCGCGCCACCGACAAATGGAAACGGCGTCGCGATCGTCGGCAGGTCCAAGTGCCGCAAGCGGACGGTCCCAAGGACGCGTTCGGGGAGCTCATCCATCGACGTTCCTTCCAGCACAAATCCCAAATCTAACACCAAGTCGGGCGCGTGACCCAAAAGAAGGCGCACAAGACCACTTGCGACCGTGCTGCTGCGAATGTCGAAGTCAACTTCGCAGAATTGACGCCCGCGAAAGTATCGGTGGTTCACCTGCGCCGCCTTCGATGAGAAAATATATCACATGACTGCGGGAATTCTACCTTGGTTCCAAGGATCGTGGGGGTGCTTCCCACACCTTCTCGAACGACCCAACTGCCTTCCACCACGCGAGGAATGAGCTTCAATCGCTTGCTTCGGAACGAAGGGTCCTCTCTACATTGCCCCATCATGACCATTGCGTCTACTCGACTGCATATCACATATTCCTTACCCGTCAAAGAAGTCGGCGCACAGTTCAGTCCATGCCGCGCGCTCGTGCAAGAAGGCGGGGTTCTCCGGCGTGAAGTAAAACACCAAGCTGCGAGAGGGACAAGATTTTTTGTTGTCCTTCACCGCAAACATCGTACCTGTAATGCGGTGGGAACAAGATATTCACTACGAAGAAGAAGGTGCTGTTCGGCACCCCAGTTAACGACTGCAGCCCTATCGACTCCATCGCTTTGGCGCTCTCTGACAAAAAGCACTCGACGCCGAGGAGACGGAAGATCTGGCGCTCTGTATGCAACAAAGACCTTGAGGGGGCCACTATCACCGCGTTATTCTCACCGGATGGCTCCTTGGACTTGTCGATCAAGTAGTTGACGCTGCGAACCATAAAGTTGCTGGCCACTGGTTCGGCCCAAAACTACGGCGTCACATTGTTATCAACAAATTCATCCATCACAGCGTTTCACACCAACACCCAAGCAAGGACAAGATCGACGACAACAACGCCCACACACCTTGGATGGAAGTGCATGGCGACAGGCAAGCATAGCCTCATCGTCAGCTGGGACGTACGGCGGAAGCAGCGGCACCGTTTCTTCCGTCGACATCGTTCTCGATAGTCGCCCAGAGAGCATCGAAGTCTCGACATGCGCTCGAACGGTTTTGTATTGCTTGGCCACACACGCGGCTTTGAGGTCCACAAGCATCTCGAGCATAGCCACTGTGTAGCTCTGTCCGTATGTGCAGTGGATCGCCAATGAGGTATCGAGCCACCCGCGCGGGTTTACTTGCAGCACAAAAGTCACGAGGCAGCTTGTCAAAGACGGGTCGTCGTCACTACTGTCAACGGGAATGGCGGGTGGGGCGACCACAAAGCTGCCGCTCACGACCTCTGCCCGAACAAGACGAGTGCTACACGTGGCAAGTCTGTCGCGCAGGTTACCTAATGAAGGGCACGGTACCTGGGACACTCGTGGTGGCTTGTCGACTGCAGCAACATGACGTATGTACCGTTGGCCTCTCGACGCCAATGCCGTGCCAACACCACTTCTCTCCCTTCGACGACGACCGGCCACAGCACCATGGGCTGCAATTGCCAAAACAAAATGTCGTTGTGGCTGTCGACTTTGCTCACGACGCGTGCGTCGCGGATCACGCTGTTGGCTTTGTAGAATGGACTGTCCAGCTACATGAGGGCAGCACATGCTTAAGAACGAGAACTGACCGACGCAGTCCGGCATTGCAAGGCCAGTTAGGACACGAAAGATCCAGACGTTAACCAAGCAGTCTCGCCTGACGAACTCGGATTTCATGAAGTAAACGCACAAGTATTCAATTCCAGCGCAAAAGAGGATGGATACCTGTTGGAGCATGTCAAACACCTGCGCCGCGGAAGTTGCGTGGATCGACAAGGACGCTTTGAGCACGATGGCGGGGGACTGGATTGTCGGGTGCTGCACCGTGCACCGGTGGACGCGAAGGTTGGACGTTTGCGTGTACAACTTCCACCGGGACGGAGCTTGCAGTTCGCGCAGCCAACCAAGTTGCTTCTTCATGGACCGCGGAGTTGGTCCGATCGAAGCGGGCTCGACTTTAGCTCGCTGCGATGCCCGGCGCCGGTGGGCTCCTGGCGGTGGAAGCATTACCGTCGGATCGTCTTTCTCGTCGGGGTTGTCGACCAACACGTTGTCCATGTCGAGCTTGTCGTGGGCAAGGTACCATTGAACATACTTGCGCCAGTGGTTCTCGGCTTGCGTAATGCATTCCAAGAGACAGTTGCGCCACCAAATGGCCGTCTCCAGCGACTCAGCCGCCAGCGCAATCGGTGCTGTGTGTGATTTGGCCAAATACGACCCTGCCGAAGCCGTGAGCGCCGCCGACGAAAACGCCGCCGCGCCAACCCCTACCATGCCAATCCCTGCCAATCCCCCCGTGAGAACCTACCAATACCACGCCATACATCATCCGCACGACGTTTTTGGATGGGTGTACCAATGTAGCGGTAGCAGCAGTGGCGGCGGTTGCGGCAACTGCCATTTTTTTCATCCGCGCTTTCTTGATGTTTGCCTTGGGGTCAAAGTTGAAATCAAATCCGTCACCAGACGATCCTTGCGAAGACAGAGGATGCGCAGAAGAAGTGGCTGGTTGAGGCGGCGGCTGTTGAGCAGGGGTGCTCTGGGGCTGCGGTAGGCTGTCAACTTCGTCGGACGATCCGTTGCTATCGTCCACGAGTTTGTACGAGTAGTGCCGAATGCGGAACGTAAAGAGCTTCTTGGATTCCATGAGACTCGGGGACTCGCGAACTTCGTCGACGGTGCAGCCTGGGCCCAGGACGTACCATCCTGCAAGGAAATATGAGGAAACGATTCAGTGTTCGGTGAGAAATGTTCACCAACCTCGGGGCTCTCGGTCCCCTTTCTTCCGAAAGTAGCACAGGATGTGCGTGCCGTTGGCGGACGACCGAATCATAAAGTATCGTTCGCGCCACAAGTTGACGTGGGCGCCCTTCTTGCGGAGCCACCCCTCAATGCGGATTTCACCGAGTGCCGCGACTTCCTTTCCCACCTCCGGCATCGATCCAGTGTAGTTGAGTTCGAATTCGAGCCGCATTTCCTCAAGCAAGTGCAAAAATTTGGGTTTCATCCAGTCGCGCAGCGCCATTTCGATCTGGATGTCGTCTTTTGCGGCGCGCTTCATGTCGTGCTCTTTCTTCCGCGCGTCTGCAACCAACGCATCGCAATACGCGGCGATCCTCGTATTCATCTTCTCGCTTACTTGCTGGTGGTTGATTACGCGGCACAACTTGGTGAGCGACGACAACAGAATGTGCCGCCCGCTGTCGTTGCTAGCATACCGTGCCATGAAGTAGTCGCTGCAAATCTTGTCAAACAGCATCATGATGTTCTCGGGGTTGGACGAAGTCCGCGCGGCAGATGTGCTATGCCGCGGAGACATCGTATCCGAGTGTCTGGACGTCGAAGGGGACAGGGGCTGCTTGGACGCCCGCGGCACCGCGTTGGTCGCCATTTCCCTCTCGTCGGGTTTTTGAGGGTGTTTTGAAAAGACGTGAAGCGAGGCTTTTAACCAATCAAATCCCTCTATTTCAAAGATTTCCATGATAACACTGTGTGATTGGCTAAAATTAAATAGTCGCCTACTTTAGATTTCAGCGCACGTCTCCGTCACGAGCCATGACGGAGCTGATGATGTCGTCAATCTTGGTGTCCCAGTTCTCCGACGAGAACGATCGCCGCCTTGCCAATGACGGGGCTCCTGCATCAAGGCTATTGTCCTCGTCCACCACGAACTCGTCAGAAGCGCCTTGATTCGCCATCTCACGCAGCCGACCGAGAATGTTGCACGGGAGCTGGGCGACGGACTCGCGCCTTGGGACATTCAGCGCTGGTGGGGGTGTTGGGTGGTCGTCTTCGGTCTCGTCTGTTGAATGGGGGGTGTTGTCCATCGTCAGCCGTGCGGTGGACTTGACCGTGTCGCGCAAGACGGACAAGTGCCTTAGAGTTTTCTCAGGTTGGAAGCGGAGACTTGCACGGCGTCCGGGGTTCTCTCGAAGAGGTGCATTGGCAAAGTATGTCTTGAGAATTAAGTGCTGCTGGTGGCTGATCATGCACGCGACGAACTCTTTGCAATCGATCACGTTGTCTACGCCGGCGACGCGGTTGTACATGGCGAGCGAGTCGCGCTGAGTCATCTCTGGGTCAAGTTTGTGCACCATGCCTGTACAGAGAGCCATCATAATGTGTTCCGAACCGCACGACGTCTTTCCGATCATGGAGAAATCGAAGCGATGGCCTTACCGCTAAACTCGTGGAACTCCAGCACACCATTCTTGTCGTGGTCCATGCTGTGAAACAATTTCTTCATGAACGCCACTTGGCTGTCGTACATGGCAAACCAATGCAGCATGACTTGCTCCAGGAATTGGTCGATGTCGATCGTGTCGTTGAGCGCAAGGGCCTGCACGAGTTGGATGCACTCCGAGTGCTCGTGGTTGTCGGTGGTGGCGTCGAACGCGAACGCGATCTGAACTACGTGGACCGCTTCCTGGACATGAATGCGCGTGCTGTTCGGGCTATGTGGGATTCCATCGCCGAACCGAGACTTGAGCAGCTTCGCAACGGCCAGGGCATGCTCGTACTGCGTCGTGTAGTGGCCAACTGCACACCGCATCGAATGTAGTCCTTCTAGCATTGGAGCGACTCGACTGTACCGTGGAAGAGGACGCCAACGAGGAAGAGGAAGAAGTCGATGGCTTCGGGGGACGGTCCCATGGGTTGCGTGGCGCACACCGCTGCATTCGACCCGATCAGGATGCCAAAGAGTCTCACGCGAGCATTGTGCTAGGACTCGCGTCAGGTTTCCGCGGAGAAGGAATCGCTTACCTCGCAAAACTTGTGGACGGCAGTGTCGATGCAAATGAGCTGGCCGATGGCGAGCTCTTTCAGGCCATAGTACAGGATGAACAAGTCCTCGACGAGATTGAGGAAGCCCGACCGCGGCTTCCCATTGCAGTCGTCGTGGATGTCCTGGGTCATCTTGGCCTGGTACAAGCTCGCAATCGTGCCGGCAACGTCGTCCAGCGCCATGGCGTGTTTCTTTGAAAAGATCTTTCGGATCTTCTTGGCGGGGAGGTTGGCGTCGGCAATCACATCCGAGATTCCTCGAAACCCGTCGTCGTCGTCGACATCCTAACGATACGTCACTCGCATCGCACGCAGACGCGAGAAATGTGCCACGCACGTCGCCGCGCTTCTTCTTGCGCTTCGTGGCTGTCTCGGCCTCCATTATGTCGACTTGAACGGCGTGATCAGAGACCTCTGGTGGCTTGGGGATGCGCTTGAGAGCGTCTTGGTACTTGGTCATAAGCTCCTTGCACTCTTCCTCAAACAACTTGGTCTTGTCCATCTCAAATTGAAGCTCGATTTCGTGGTTCTCTTTGAGCGTTTGCATCTCGGTTTTGAGCAGCAACATCTTTTCGAACGTGGCGCGTTCGGCTTGGAGTTCCGCAGTCGTCTGCTCCGCGGCCGCCTACGCCGACGAGGCATCGACCGTCAGCCCAGGCCACGTCATGAATATTGTGCACGCCTACCGCCTCGTGCACCGGCACCGACTTGTTGACTTCCTTTAGCGTCGACGCGAATCCGGTGACAAACCGTTGGAGTTTCTTGACGTGTTCGTTCGTGGTCTTTTTCCTGCATGCGGGTGTAGAACGTTCCCAGAATATTCCAGCAGGTCTCGTACGTTGTGCCAACGTCGTACTCGCGCATCAGCATTTGCGCGAGACGCTCGCCTTCTTCATGCGCCATCGCTTGCACCACATCAAACAGCATCTCGGCGCTCAAGTTTTGCTCCACTGTTTGAATGAGCCCGACGAGAATCTACGGTAGCCAGGTGCTGAGGACAGCGCGTCAAAGGCACAACGGGGCGCAGTCGTGGGGGAGATGAGGATGAATGGCTTACGTTGCGTCGGTTGGCTGCGTCAAACGACTGGAACGTCTTGAAGATCATGTCGACTTTGTCCATGGCGCCCATGTTTTGGAGCTCGACGACGAGGGACGGCCGCGTGTTGCGTCCGCGAAGCCGCTTGAGTGCGTCGCATTGACTCGTCAGTGCAGCGACTTCTTCTCGAAGCCGCTCGGCTTCAAATTCAGCCGCTGTGACCTCTTCGCCCACGACGTGATTGAACCAGTCGAATCAACCAAAGTAGACATAGCACACTTACGCGCTTGGAGTCCATCCACCTGGCCACGCAATTGCTCGGCCATTTGAAAGTACGCCGTTCCTTTTTCATACCAATCAACCGCCGACACGGTCGACGCCTCGGCGTGTTGTCTTGACGCAACATGCCGCGCGTCGTAGTCCGAGTAGATGGCAGCTCCTAGGCTCCTACACCCATGGATTACGTCGAAAGGAAGAGGTCACCGAGATGCGAGGGGCGGCGTACTGGCAAATTGTGCCCAGCACATGCTGGTACCGGCCAAAGAGGCTCGTCGCGTGCTGCAAGCAATGAAACGCAACGGCCGTGCGCAGTCGGTTCGGCATGGGTTTGCCCGTGGTGAGGACGGACGACTCGCGGAACTTCATTTCACAAAACAAAAAGTACGACGTGAAGTTCTTCGACTCGACGTCCAAGCTATGCAGCCACGTGTTGATGTGCCGCAGGTCGCTTGGCTTGACATGAGGATGAGCTTCATGGGCGAGATGGTCCAAGACGGCTGCAGGGGCTACTGGAAGGGGCGACGATGGCCTCGGCAGCATCGCTTGCCATGGCGATGACAACGCCAACTGACTTTGGCCATGTTGGTTGACATGGCTCGCATGGCTTTCACCAGCGATCGGTGGTCTGAATGCAAGATGGTGTGTGTTCAACAAGCGGATGATTCGTGAGCAGTAGGAAGTCTCACCGTCGAGGAGTAGACCGCGTACACGAGGCAGAGCTCGGTTTCTTGGCCTGCCGCGAGCGTGGCGTCTCTGGCCCGTGCATGCCACGGAACGGATACATGTTGTACGACGTTTGAGGCCGACTCGGCGGTGTTGGTGCAGTCGTGCCATTGTCTGGGTCGCGGAGGTCGCACACTTTGCTCGCCAAGAGCTTGTCGCTGGAGACTACCGTCCCCGAGGATGACATTGGGCTACATCGACCTAAGATCAGCGCGCGCATTGTCCTCCTCACGCATCGCTCCTACCGCTGACCGGAAGGCGGTCCATGGCCGCGGCACACGACGCTCATCGCGCTATAATTAGCCACGTCACAAGTTGAAGTCCCTCAAGAATCTGGATAAATGAACAAGTATCCGGAACTTTTTGCAATCTTGACTACTTTTCGAACCGACATGGACTCGCCGGTGGAGGAGCCCGCTCTGTCGCTGGAGCAGATGAAGAGCAATCTGTTCCAGAAGTTCCAGCGCGAGGGGACCATCGACCAGATCCGCGTACGTGTCGCGCCAGGTCTTAACGAATAGCTGAGGGACGGTTTGTCCATCTCCACAGGTACAATTGCGAACGTCGTTCGTGCAAACCCTGCAGAAAGCATCGCACGCTGCGGCCGTGTCCGCGACCCCCAACCTACAAGAATGGACGGTCGTAGAGAAGGTTGCCAACAGCATGATCTACCAATATCTTCAAACGAAACAGCTCAAGCACACGCTGTCTGTGTTCTTGCCCGAAGTTGGTCCTCGCAATTGCGACTTGCAGCAGGACATGATCCACAAACTGCTGCGACATCCAGCCGTTCCGACCATCGATGTGAATGAAAATGCATCGTCGCCGTTGTGGCTGCTCGACATGCTCCGCGAAAAGGAACAGCGGGCTGATGTTATAACACACGACAATCAAACACAGACGATAGGGGACGACCATCGCTTCCTCTTGGGTATGTCAGCACCAAGAATGCCAGCGTCATCTCAGTTCAACGTGGTTCAGAAACGGAACTGAAGCGCATTGACGACTTGTACTGGAACCAATGCATGCTCCAAAAGGCTCAATCCCACCAGTCCTTTGACGAGCAGCTCGTCGCCTTCCAGCACGAGTACGACGCTCGAAGCCAAGCCCAGATGCAAAAGGAGGTTTGTTCGTGTGCACCGTACAAAAGATGCTAAAATTACACTAGATTGAGCGTATTCGGGACATGGAGATCTCGTTGATGCGCATGGAGGAGCGGAAATTTTACGCCAAGGAAATGGATGATTTGCGAGCGTCACTTCAAGCCGAGTATGCAACCAAAGCGCAGAGCCTTGCGGACACGGAAGCGCGACTTCGCATTGAATTTGCCGAACACCGACAGGTTTTACGCGCCCCATCGGGCACCAGGGTTGATGGCGATGCTATAGCAACTCGACTCGGACATGTTTGAGCTGCGACAGACCCTCCTCCGCGAACTCGACAACGTAAGGTCGAAAGAGCGGCAGCTCCTGTCGTCCATCGACCTGGAAGCCATGAAGAGCGCGAATGAAGCCCGGCGCCTGGCTCTGCTAGAGAGCAACCTGACCCAGCGCGAACGCCAACTCGATCAAACCCTCAAGGAGGTACAGGAGGAGCGCGAGGGACAGCTCCGGCGGGTCATGGAAGACGCCGACGCCAAGGTGCACGCACAGACGACAGCATTACAGGCCATGCAGCGCCAACTAGAAAAGGAATCACAGCAGCTGCGGGAGAGCCAAGGCGAGTTCACAGCCATGGCTCAACGGGTGGCTGTAGTGGAAGGCCAGCTCGCGGTCCGGGATCGATTTGAACCATCAAGTTCAAACGGCTGGGAGTTAACGGCAGGACATTCATAGGCGGCGAGAGGATTGCACATGGATCAAAAGATGAAACTGGAGCAACTCGAGCGGGAGCGAATGCATGTCGACGAGTTGCTCACGGCTAGTCGAGCGTCGCAAGTTGAGATATCCACCAAAGAAAACGCGGCGATAGTTGCATTAGCTCATGCCAAAGACACGATCGCCCGTTTGGAGGTGAAATGAAGTGTCGAGCAGAGTGGATTCAAGGCGGAGTGTCTATGTTAGCGGGAAACGAAAGCAGAACGAGCAGTCTTTGCGTCCCAACTGGCGGAAAAGACCGCGGCAGTTCAAGACGCCCTGGCGCAAGCCCACGCGGCTCAAACCGAGCTAGCTCGATTGAAAGTTGATCATGCCGACGCGATCGTGTCTGTGAAGCATGCCGCGTATGATGCCATGGCGGCCGAGCGTCGATCTGCCAAGCAGGCCGAGGACGCGCTGCACGTCCAACTCCAGGACCTCCAGAACCGGTGCAGCGACGTCGAAGCGCAGTGCCATCGCTATCGCACTCAGTGCGAAGACGAACAAGTGCATGTGGCATCGCTCCGACACGAAATTGCAAGCCTGAATGCGCTGCTCAACACGTTGAAGTACACGTCGCCCGTCGCGTCAGTTCCCGCAAGCGGATTCTCGAGACGATTGCCGTCGTGGATGCCAGCGGCGGACGACAGCGATGGCTCGCGCATGATGGGTGCTCCGGCGCGGCGAGCTGTGGATCTGGACGACGCTAGGCTGTTTGAAGAGTGGAAGCAGGAGCGCCGGGGCGGACAGCTGCACATTGACATGCCGTCATTCGTGGCATCTGGAGGCACCACGAGTTCTCCGCCGCAGCGTGCTTTGATCAACCAAAGCGCGGCGAGCGATGACATTAGGAGCAGTCCAGCGACTGCAGACAACTATTCAGGCCGCCGAAAGCAAGTTGATGAGGAAGAAGATGTGACGCGTCAAAGACAGCTGGAAGAGGAGCGCGATCGCGCTGCTGTCTTGGAGAGACAGCGTCAGGAGCAGGAGCTCGAAGCCAAACGCGAGCTGGAGCAGCGTCTCCTCGAGCAGGCCGCTGCAAGAGCCGCCATGGAAGCGCAGTTGAAAGCGTCGCAAGATGCGTTCGACAGACAGTTGCTAGCACAGGAAAAGGCCAAAAACGAAGTGATCCAACGGTTGCGACTGGAAGCAGATGCGAAACAAGCCCAAGACGAACGGAAGCGCCAGGCTGACGCCCGAGACATCGAAGCCCGGCGAGCGGCAGATGCGGCAGCGGTGCAGGCGGAGATGGCTGCGAAGGAAGAGGCTCGCCTGCTCGAAGATAAACACGTCAAGGAAGAGCTAGCAAGACAACTGCAGGAAGCGCAGGACCAGTTGAGTCGCCAGGCCATTGCTATTGCCCCAGGAGGCACCTCGCAGAATCCTTCCAACCATGCACCTTCCTCGTTAAGCGGGAAGACAAACGGCGGCACCGACATATCGAGCACTGTGAGCCACCCATCCGCCGACTCGGACGCTTGTGTCCGTCAAATGACTCTACTGGACGAAGATCGCAGGCACGAGGAACGAGCCATCGAAGAAGACCGGATGGAAGCTGCGGTGCATGAAAAGCTGGATCGGGAGCAACTGGAAAAGGACCGAATGCACGCCGATGAGGTTGAGCGTTTGGAAGCGGCTGCACGCGCTGAAGAAAAGGCTCGGTTAGACGAAGCGGACAAGCGAAAAACAGCGGAGGCTGCTGCAGAGAATGCAGCTGAGGAGGCACGGCAGCAGGCTGTAGCTGCCCAGCAAAAGCTGCTGGATGACGAGCGAAACGCCAAAGAACAGCAGCACGAAAATCAGAAACGTTTGGAGAAAGAGTTACGTGCAAGTCAGGTCTTGCAGGAACAAGAGCGCGCAGAAGCCCAGCAACGCGAGGAGGAAGCTGCCAAGCAGAAAGCACAGGAAGAAGAGAAAGAAGCCGCGCGGCTGAAGCAAGAAGCCGAGTCGAAAGACGTTCAGGAGCAAAAGCAAGATTTAAACATCATCGACGAGTATCGTCAACGGGCGATCGCGAGGCGGGCAGAGAAGCTCCGACTCGAGCAGGAAGCAAAAGCAAAGGAACTAGCTCAAGCGAGGGAGGAGGCTGAGAGAAAGCAGCGCGAAGAAGATGAAGCAGCAGCTGCTGCTGCCACCGAGGTACGATGGCGACACGTCAGGTCGTTGTAACATGGTCCAGGAGGTTGGATCGGAATCGGGCGATTCGGTGTTGTCGGTGGGTGGCGTTGGGAGCGACAAGAGGTGCGTACGCTGTCGAAACTGGAGAGCATGATGGTAACCTTGCGCACAGTGGAGACGCAAGCGGCGACTCGTTCTAGAGCGATACAGTCGACGCAAACAGCCACACGGTGAATCCCCTCTTCGAAATGGATCGTCGCGGGCGTTAAGACTGGGCTTTCGAGGCGCATCGCGCACGCGACTTGATCTTGAATCGATCATGCCGACAAACCCCCACTTGCCCGCATCATGTAGTGCTTGGTTTGAAACGATGTAGTCGGCAGCCACACACAGCAACTATTTCCACAACCACCGGCTGGAGATCCCGTCGCCGCCGTAACACAGACGCGGCATGAACTGTATTGCAGCGGGGAACTCCTGCAATTGAACTTGCTTGAGGGCGTCCGGGACTTCTGCGTTGTACTGGCAGCGCCTCGCCGACAGGATGCTGGCGCGTGGTGACTGCTCGTGGCTCCTCCAATCACAACGCGAAAAAGGCGCCAGGAGATTTCTGATTGGACGGCTTGCGATCTTGACATCGCGCTGGAGTTTCCAACTGCGGCGAACATTCCGCCGACGAGATGGCCCGACGGCTTCGTCGAGTGTGGCACGAGTCGGCGAATGCCGTAACATATCTCGTCCTCTGGCGATTCGGACGCTGGTCGAAATGACATCCCACGCCCATCCAACTGTCTCACCAGTCGACGAGATCTGTAGCGCAGCACACCCAAAAGCCGTTGCTGCAGCTCGTTGTATTACCTCGTCCCCACTACCTTCGAACGCACTATGACTGACGTCAACCCCTTGAGTAGCGTTACGCGCCACTGGCTCGGGTGTGCTCGGCTTCGAAACTCGAGTCTCTGTTGATGGGATTCATGCTGAGGTTCGCAAGCGCGTGGCGGTGGGCTGCAAACCCCTCGGCGAGCTTCTTCTCCTCTTCGCTCAAGTGATACAAAGGGTTTTCGCGTTTGGCCTTGTTCAGTCGGATATCTGGCGATGCCATCAAAAACCGCGCGGCCGTCGCCGTCCCCATCGCGAGCGCCAACGTCACCATCGCCAGCAGCGGGATGTTTTCCGGGTCCTTTAACACCCCACGCGCCAATTCGCGAGCTCGCATTCCTTCCAGTCGTCGTTTATCGCGTTGTGGCGACGCCTCAGGATGAGCCTCAACGGACTTGTGGATGGTCCAACGCGACGTCTTGTCTCTTGCTTCGTAACCGCAACGTTGGCCAGAATCCTTGTGCCCAAAGCAGTAAGATAGTGGCATGTGCAGCTCAGTGGTCTGCTAGACGGGAGTTCCTCCGGTGGCAATACCAGTGCATTGGAATCCGGCGTCCCTCTCCCTCCTCTTTCCATTCGTCATCGTTGTCTTCACGTGCATGAACAAGAGTTTGAGTTGGTTGCATTACGTGCATCTTACGACTCGGACATCCTACTCGCCTTGGTGTGGCAACACAGCGCGCTTGAGGCGCTCGATTTGATCGTCCACGGTTTGCCCAACGCATCGTCCTTCAGCCAGCGTCGGCACGCGATAGACGCCGACTTCGCCCGTCGAGTCGCCGACAACCAGCACGGGCGACGACGGCGCAAACGAGATGCACGTGCAGTGTACTTGTTCCTTGGGGAAATATGTCACGATCGGGTCGAGCACAGATTGCTCCAGGTCCCAGATCTCGATTCGACCGTCTTCCGTGACGCTGCCAAAGATGGTCGCGTCGCTGGGGCACCACGCAACGCCGTACACGCCATGGCACAAATCCACCTACAACAACAGACGCAAGTCGATTATTCGGTAAGCACGCCGCCAGGGGAGCCCGACTGGGCGATTACCGATCGAAAATTGAGCACTTCGCGCTGCTCTGCCTGGTGCCATAGCTTGACCGTCCAGTCCGCTGAGCAGCTCAAGAGGAGTTGGTTCCAGAACGGCGACATGTGAATTGCATACACCGCCGCCGTATGCCCGTAGTACGTCTCCAAGTACTGCTCGTTGTACGAACACGAGCATTTGTGAATATTGCCGTCCTCTGGCATTGCCACGTCATCGTGAGTTGAACTCAGTCACAAGTGGCCTGTACCTGTCCCGACAAAGTAGACAGAGCTGTCATTCTGGGCAAACTCGATGCAGTTGCCGCTCGCCTGCCGCGCGATCACGCCGTCGATGCGGGCTTCGGAGCCCATGAGTGGGTTGGGAACTCGTTTGAGCGTCATCAAGTCGGAGAAGCTCAGCCCCTTCTTCATGCTCCATTCGGTCACGCGGCCGTCCGACGATACGCTCACGATGCTCTCGCCCCGCTCGCTGCCCTTGTGTACCCACTTGACCTATGGCCACGTATCAAGGGAGATTGCCTCGTTGGGACGGATCGCAGCACCTGCCACACAACGTCCAAGTGGGACCCGCTGTTGCTCTCACTCGACAGAATCGGCACTGCGTCGTTCTTTCGCGTATCAAACAGCGCGACAACGCCATTGTGGAATCCAACGGCGAGCAAGTTGGGATGCAGCCGGCTGAAATCGATCGAAGTCACGCCGCAGCCGAGTTTGTACACTCGTTCGGGGTACTCGGGGTTCTTGAGCGACCAAAACAAAACCAGCCCGTCGGACGTGTCGTCGGCGGCCGCGTCAAATTGGCCGTACGACACGGCGAGCAAGTCGTCGTTGACCGGGTTCCACGCCTACCTCCACGTCAAATCCATGCCAGCCATCCGTTTCCATGCTGCCGACGCAAGCACTTGCGCTCGAGCTGCAGGAGACGTACCACACACGACACAGTGCGCCCGGCTGTCAGCGAACACGAGAATCCCCAGAGTTTCTCCAGGTCGGTCGATTTCTCCAGGACGTTGCTCATGGAAGACGACAGCCCGCCGACGGCAAGCCGGTTCGGGCGCTGCGACGCACCTGTCAGCAGTGGAAAGTTGCGGTACAACAGGTGCCTGTCGTGGTAAAAGTTTTGTTGCACTGCTCGTTCCAGCACTTGCAACGTCTTGAGCAAACCCGCCGATGCCAGGACGTGCTGCGTCTTTTGCTCCGCGATGATTTCAGCGAGATCGACGTTCGTATTAGCCGTAGCGTACGCGTTGTTAGCGCCTTTGCCATCGGCAGAGTTGGACCCGTCCGAGTTGGCGCTCGAGCGGGAGATATCGGCGTGACTGCTGGAGCTGATGTCGCCGCTTGTCACGTCGCTCTGCGACGACGTGTTGTTATTGGCAGTCGCCGAGCTGTTGGCGTTAGCTGAGCTGCCGCCGCCCCCCGCCACGGACGTGCCGCTAATGCTGTTGGCGCTGGAACCGACGACGGCGCGGGAGTTGTGGATGACGCGGGACGCCCGCAACAGCTTCGAGTCTGGATGGATGCAGATGAAGATGGTCCATGGAATGGCCCTCAACAGGTCGAGAAAGTACCTCCACTGGCGGCGGCGCCCCCTGTCCCCCCATGATGCGATGACGTCGTCGGGGCGTTCGGTTTGTGGCGAGACGAGGGCTGGAGCGCCCGTTGCCGGGCTTTGAGGTCACTCAGGAGCTCCGCCCCTTCCGTGAGCAGCAAGCACCCTGGGGACGCAAGAGAAGCGCTAACGATTTCGTCCACTTGTTTCGTAAGCTGGGCATCGACGTTCTCGGCATCGACAGCGGCTTTCGATTTATTTGGCGCGGCATCCAGCCCGACTTCATCGTGGTCATTTCCAGACAAGTCGACGTCCGTGTTGGCGCTGCCACATGCATGAGTCGAGAGGGTGTGGCACTCATGCGCAGCGGATGTCCGTACCAGTCAAAGATATCCCAGTCGGTGGCGCTGGAAGCTGCGTCGCGGGTGGCGGGCGGAGCTGTCATGACCTCCTTGGTCTTTTGAGCCAGCTGAAGTGTCTGGGTTCGATTCTCGACATAGTTGTCGCTGCCGCGCTTACTCCCGCACATCTACACAACCGTCCGATGCCAGATGAGCGACGGGGCCGACTGGGCACAACTTCACCTCCAAGTACTTTCGGTTCTTTGCCACAACGACGCCATGCTCCGGTGTGTCCTGGCCAACGCAGATGCTGCGCCACTCGAATAGCATCATGGTAGGTGTTTCCGTGAATCGAATCGTCACGGGGCCTTCCATGATTGTGCTGTCGGCTCTCGCTGTGCCTGGTCGGCCATCCCTACGTCAATATTTGGCATGTCTTGACCGAGGGGAACTTGCACGTACACTGCGCTTTTCGGTCGCAGCGCCTGCGTCCCAGCGTCCAAGTGGCCATGGTCGTCGATGCCAGTCAGCCCGTCACCGTCGCCGTCCTCGGTGGTTTCTGGCTTCTTTGTGGGTGGCGCAGCTGGAGTGGTCGTCACTTTCATCGATGGCACTCCCGCCAGGATCGCATCTAACGATTTGCCAGAGTCTCCACCAGTCGACGACCCTTCGCCGTCAGAGAACACTGAGTTGGTCGATGACGCCGCCACGGACGCGCCCGACGTATGGTCATGTTCTGATGTTTTCTTGGAGGGTTTGGGACGTCCAGCGCCAGACTTTTCTGGTGCTTTGCTCCTTGTGAAGAGCAGGGACTGTGGTGTCACATTTACGCCGTCCAAGTACACTTGGGTCGCTTGGTTGCCGCCGCCTCCTCTGGCATGCATGCTGCTGCCCGCGATTTTGCTCGATGCGCCAACGAGCCTTGAATGCGACGCGTTGGACGGATCATTGCTCCTGGACACGCGGGATCGAGACGAGCTCGGCGCGATCTTCTTGGTCGACGTTCCCGTCACGCCAGCCTTGGACGTCGCTCTAGTGTTGCTCATGGCGAAAGGTCGCGAACCCGAAAGTCGGCGAGAAAATCTCTCAAACGAGGCCGGGCTAGGTCTAATAAGCACCTCTACGCATACTACTAAATCCGACAACGGCATATCCTGGGGATGCCACGGCGGGGGAGGGGGAGGCATGTGCAAGCACTGCGCCAGGGGAAAGCGGGCGGCCATTGCCCATGTGGACTCGACATGCACGACGCCTCGCATCAATCGATGCCCGTACGAACACGGCTAGGATGACGAAACCTGCCATGTGAACTCAAGTCGGCCATTTCCAACTCGATACATTCCCGAGTCGGCAGTGCCATGGTGCCTTTATCCAACCACCTGTAGGCTCATTCGAGCGCCCCAAGAGCGACGCTTTCGTTGGAATGTGCGTTGTTGGCGAGTGTTTACGCGTGCGGGTTCTGGAACTTCGCACAGGCGACCGACCGTTCCGCAGATCAAGTGTCGCCATGCTACACCGAAACGTCAAAACAGAACTGTCCTTCCTGCCGCTCGCTGCATATCTTTGAGGGAGCAGCGCGGCAGGTGGTCGTCGTAACCATGTTCAGCAGTCGGCGCCTCGTTCCAGTCGTCCAACTCCGTGGGTGGTACGGCAACTCTCGTCACGTCGTACATGGATGGACGAGATCGCATCGACTTGACTGCGGACTCAGGCACCATCCACATCCTTGGTCGACGGTACCATCCGCTGAAGGGGCCATCGAGTACGCTTGGCGATGCTGGCGCAGACAGTTGAGAACGGCTTCGAGATCTGGCATCGCGGCTTCCCTTCTTCTATGGTTTGCATGCTGCTTTGCGCTGGGGCTGGCGACTGTCGCAAGTGCATCTATCTCTCAAGCACATCTTGGCATCCACCACAGCCCTGTGACTGTTTTTCGCAGCGTTGAACTATGTCCGCCCTGGTGATGATGGGGAACTAGCAGCCTTTATATTTTCAAGTCGACCTTTTTTCCCAGAATTCGCCGATGCACGGCGTACGCGTCGTAGGCGTGGGGGATGTCCCCCCTTGCGACGTTTTGAAGCGCAATCGTCCGTGCGAGGGTGGCGTCATGGGGCGCCACCGCCGCAGCCCGTTTGTTGTACGCCAGGGAAGCTTCCGTGCGGCCCATCGCATCGTGCAACTTGGCCAGGTTTCGTAGCACCGCGGCATCGCCTGGCATGTACTTGAGTGCATCCTCACAATGGACCAAGCTCTCGCGTAAGTTGCCGCGTTTTGCTTGTACCATGCTCATGTTCAAGTGGCTTGGGCCGTAGCATGGGGCGGCTGCGATCGCAGTGCGAAACTGGTCGTACGCTTGGTCGAGTTTGCCTTGGGCCAGGAGCGACAGCCCGAGCTCGTTCGCGTGCTCGTGGGTCGCTCGGTTTGTCAACAAGGTCATCCGCGCGTACCGATGGTACCCGTCCGTGTCGCCGGAGGCCTTGCACAGCACTGCCAAGTGATGGAGGGCCTACACGATCGCATCAGTCTCGAGAGAAATCATTCGGCATGCATTTCGTACATCTTCGTCCGAAGGGTTTCGCGTACAACGGGACTGATAGTACGCACTGGCGCTTGCCGTCGCGGTTGCCGCTGGGGCAAGGCGGCGCATCGACGTTGCCTTGATGTGCTAAATATATACCAGCTAGCTACAGCCATTCCCCCTCATCGCCGTTTTTGTGCTACGTGCGACCTCTCTGTTTGGGCCGCGGACTGTGTGTGATGAGGGGCCACCACCCCCATCTTCTTGAACAACACTTTCGTCTCTGGCCAGCACGTACAAGCGCTGCAGCACGTCGCGGGCTGGCTCGACGGGAGTTGCCGCCGCCGCCGACAGTGCCACGTGTGTGGTCAGCGCACCGGCCGTGACCAATGACGATATCGAACATCGGACGGTTCGTAGCCGTTCAGCTTTGCTGTGTAAAGACCCAGTCCGCACTTGACGTGCTTCGACTTTGCGCCTACTCCATGGCATGTTGGACTGGCCCCATTCGATATCTGGCAGAGAATCGCGGTGTTTCGGGCAGCGATTGAGAAAGATCGCTGGAATTTCGAACGGACATTCTCTGCAGCTCCGAGCGGAGGCAGCCCTTGATGCCAGGAGCGGACAGTTCTTTCCTAGGGGGTTTCACGACGGAAAATTCCACCTTAACGTTCGAGGCGAGCGTAGCGACCGCCGACCATGGACGTCACATTCAATCCTGCTCGCAACATAGCAAGGCCCATCGTCAGCCCACTATCGCGTTATAGTACACTCCCACCATCGCCACCATGCTTGCTCTCCTGTCTAACGAGTCGACCCACTCCATGTACCACGCGGCGCCGCCGCTTTCGCCCGGCCAAACCTCGACCGCGAGCTCGGACTCGAGCTCCACGAGCCACCACGCGTCGCCAAACCACCACGGGCTTACCCGCAAGCTGCACGGCACGGGCGACGCCATGCCAACGTACTTTGTCTCGCCCGAGCTCAAGTGCCAGTACAAGACGGGCACGTGCACAAACGAACGCACGACCAAGAAAAACGGCAAGCTCCTCATGTTGTGCGAACTCCACCGTACAAAACAAAACGAGATCAAGAAACGCAGCGACCGCAAACAGAGCGCGATGCGCATGAACCGGCGGCTCGAAGCCAAGCAGAAAGCCATGCTTGTCGTCGATCCCCGCCTCGACGCCAACAAGATCAAGTCGTTCAAGCGCGTTCCCAAGTTTGAAGAGCTCTTGTCATGTGATCCGAGCCAGATGTGGGACCACCACCATAGCCATCACCACATGCACACGTACGACACATCGTCATCATCCGTGTCGCTCCCCCGCGTCAACGTGTGGCGAACCAAAGACGGCATTGCCACCGGCATGTCATCGCATTCCGTCTTTAAAGCGTTCCCGATGCCGTACTCCCCCACTGGTCACATGTTCGACTGGGGCGCTCCCCAGCCGACGGGAAGTGTCACACCCCGAGGCAACGACCTCGCCATGCTCGAGTTCTTCCTGGACGACTAAAGCCGCCGCCTCGTCCTCCACTCCCCCAACTGTCGTAGCAGTCACCAACCCAATTGTAGTCCTAATTATTAATTGCATCTTCCAAGTCCACCGTCAGGCGAGTGTACCCTACGCTACCATTGTGCTCGAAGCGGGGGAAGGCGTTCATGAGACTTGGACGGCGTTTTTCCGACTCGAAAGAGTTGCCAGTGCTTGGGCCTTGTTCGTACACAGCTCGTGATCTGCCTGGAACGGGGCAGGTATCACAGATCGTACGTTTTTTACTCGATTAAATACAAAGGGCTAAACGGGGGAGTGGGCAGGTCGCAAATCGTGCTTCGTTCTGGCTATTCATAATCGTCGTAGTCGTCGTGTGTTGAGGGCATGGCTAGCCGTCGGCGTTTTGTTGCCGGCTCAAGGTCGGACGGACTGGCTTGCATGTGCTGAGCGCGGAGTAAAGTGAGCGCGAGGGACGGGCACTGCTCGATCTCATGGCGAAATCCTTCGTCGTCGATAAGTTGCGCCATGTTGTCCACAATGTGCTTGACACAAGTTTCCTTGAGGAAGTTGGCGTTGTACTTCTCTGCGGCGCTCAGTAGCTTGACGCACGATTCATTTGATATAAGATCTTTCGCCTGGAGCTCGCACAGGTCCCGCAGTGGCCGCATGAGGTACTGGTCGCCAAGCGACAACAAGTCAATCAGTTGCTACTCACACGTGAGCCACACAATGAACCACGCGCAGGAAAACGTACGGCTGTGGACAGTTTGGCCAAATCATGCACGCGGTTGGTATAGATGAACTCGAGAAGCTTGGCCACCATGTCGGGCGAGTGGTCGCGAATCACGACAGTTCCATCGCCATTCTCCTTCATGGCCATTCCGCTCTTCGTGTCGGTCGGGAACATGCACCGAAACACCTCGCACCGGGTCGTCAACACACACTTGTGCGCTCGAAGTTCCTCTTCTTTCGGCCCCACTTTCAGGATCACGTCGCAGTTGAACCCGCTCTGCATGAGGCCAACATGAGCCATGCAAACACCGCAACATTCAGCACCTGCAGCATTCGCTTCATGGAGAGGAAGAACTCATCGTCGGACAGCTTCGGCGTCATCAAGATGGGTGTTTCCCGACGGTGGCGCACTTGAATGATGTCGTTCTTTTGCAAATGGACGGATTCGGGGCATTCTTCAGGATCGAGTAGACTCTGTAGCAGGGTGAGACGACGACGTCGAACGAACCATCACGCACTTACCATGAAGAAGAAGTCTAGGCACTCTCGTGGCAAACCATGATGTTTGCTGTAATGGCGAAAGAGCGACGAAAACCGTTGGGTCTTCTGCATCAAGCATGAGTACATGTTGTTGGCTGGCACTCGAATGATCGACCGTTCGCTGCCGGTCAAGATAAGGTCTTCGGACGCCTACAGTCGGAGTGCACATAAGGCACATGCTCGCGCGCATGTAAGCCGTCACCTTCACGGTGAACTCGACGTTGTCGGCGCGGACGCTCCTGTTCATGTCGTCGATGGCAGAATGGCGACGGGCGATGCCGGCCGGAAATGGTGAAGATCGGTCGAAATTTTGACCAATCCAGTCGCACGAATTGTCCCAAATGTTGGTCGGAAACCTTAATTTTCCAAAAAGAATTCGATTTTATATGAATGCCACGGAATTCTTTTATAGTCAACTCCAATCACTTGATTAAACTATTGATGTTATAGAGTTGGCACGAGTCGCTAGCCGTTTCCTTTTTAAGCATCTTGTCGGGTTTCGAAAACCCCATGAGCTCAGTGCATGAGCCAATCCAATTGATGCATCCCCTTCTGTAGTTCCAGATTTCTACCAATCATAGGATTTAAGAATTCGACGTTAGGTTTTTACTATGACTGGTGCATGCCATCTAATTGGCCAGGTTTGTTGGACTGTTGAAGGCAATTAATTCGCCGTCAAATAGCGTTAGACATGTCCGACACTATTTAACGTTGCATACAGGAATAAATGCAGGCACCCCGACCGAGTTGAACACTATTTAAGGGCGGTGTAGACGCCGCTTCAAACTTACCGTCAACTCGCTCCATCGCGCAGTTCCGATGTGCCACCACCAGTCCGTCCGTGCAGCATTTCTGGACGAAGATAACGCGACGCGTGATGACGTGGACAAGGCCGTGCACCCTCGTGCTGAGTACGAGGGCGTTGCAACGGGTACCGACAAGGTCAAGGGAGTCGCGTTCATCCTATCGTTGTTCACGGCCACGCTTGCCATGGGGTACTTTGTGATTGTGCCGACGGCTGTCGTCGTGGCGACTATGAGCCCGACACTGGCACAATACATCTACCGCGTGCTACTCGGTCACTTTTGCGCGTACTCGTCAGGCGTGTTCGAGTACTTGTCCGGGATGGAAGTTGTCATCACAGGCGAAGCGGGTGAAACCTTCGAGTTCAAAGACTCCGACCGCGTCCTGCTCATCTCGAACCACCGCACGGAAATCGACTGGCTCCTGCATTGGTACGTGCGTGGCGCGGTGATCGGCCATGACGTTGTCTTGACGAGCGTCGACTTTTCCAGGAACTTTGCCACGAAAATCCAGCGCCACGACCGCATCATGACCATGCTGAAAGCTGGCTTGCGCTCCATTCCAATCTTCGGGTACTGTTACATCAAATTCTCAAGCTGATGCGACTCGTGTAGCGGCGTCCTGCAGTTGTTTGGATTCCCCTTTGTCCAGCGGAATTGGGCAGAAGACCAAGACAAACTTGGCGCGCTCATCGACTCGTACCACATGCGGTCGTACGGGACGTGGATGGCCATGTTTCCGGAAGGTACAGCGCTGTACGACAAGGCGCTGCAAGCCAGCCACGAGTTCAAAGCGGCCCATGGAAAGCCCAAATGCGACTTTGTGCTCGAACCACGGCTCAAGGGGTTTGCGCTGTGCATTGATAAGTTTCGGCCACACTACATCCTCGACATGACGATGGCATTTCCCGAGCTCCGCCGAGGCATTCGACCGTCCCCGCTGCGACTACTACACGGGCTGTTTCCGGCGTCCGTGCATTTTTACGTCCGCAAATTCACGCGAGATGACATCATGGCGGCTGAGTCCCCGAGCCTGTGGCTCCAGGATCGGTTTGCGGTCAAGGAGGAAATGCTATCGGCCTTCTACCACGCGACAAAAGGGACATTTGACAAGCCCATCCTGGCGCTACCTAACTCGAAGCGACCGTTCTTGTCGGCGATGGCGCTCGTGGTAGCGTCGTCGTTGGCCCTGCCCGTCGTCCTGTGGACCTACCAGTACTCGGTGACGTACCTAGCACTAGTCGTAGCATTTATGGTCGCCGTGAGCAAGCGATAAGGAGGTCTTCTTGCTTGGTTACCGGCGTGGCTGGGTACACGGCAGTCGTGGTGCATGGCGATGGCTTTGCGAACGAAGTGTGAAGCAGAGATGCGAGGTTGCGCTACGTGCAACTCGCAGCAATGTTTCGTACGTCGTGCGGCTGCTACAGTGTTTCATGTTCATGCCAACCACTTGGCCTTCGTGCCACAGTCCACTTACTTTTTCAGGTCACGAGGGGCTGACCACCCCCCAGTCACGGCAAACGGCTTCACTCGAGCCTGACATGCGGCCCATCGAGTTGAGAACAAAGAAAGCTACGCGTGTGCACCCCCGCGGCAGTCCCACGGCATTGGCAGCGACGACCCTCCGTGAATCCAATGGCAAACTCGCGGGAAGCAACTATGCAGCTATACGAGAGGGTTCAGTTCGACATGGTGCCATCAACGTCGTTGGGACCGTCAGTGGTGCCAAAGAGCCACAGCAATCGCAACTCTCCATCCGATTCATGGTCGCCCTTACACCCTCGGGATCCACGACATGTCCTTCGTCTTGAGCTTTTCAAACACGTACGACTCGATGCCGTTGCGATCGCTGTCGTCCTTGGCGTTGAGCTGCTGGATGAAGAAAAAGTAGTGCAGCAGGTTGTGTTCGTCCTGCGTGTGTCGTGCAAAGTTGTTGAGGAGGCCTTTCTCCATGCCGGCGAGCTCGATCGCACTCCGCGCGCGATTACAAACCAAGCACCGCTCGCGCTTGAGGGCGGCCTTCGTCTCGGTCTCTTCCCGCACGGACGTGAATGCGTCGATGATGATTCCTTGCACCATGTTCAGGAACAGCGTGATCACGACCACGTAAAACGCCATGTCGTACACGAGCCGTTCCAAGTACCGCTGCGGCTGGTCGAAATTCAACTCGTGGTTGAGGGACGACGAAATGTAGTCGCCGATGCCGCCACCAGACAGGAGCCCTACCTTCGATCGTGAGCTATGGTCGACGACGGGCTCGTGAGTACCGACCGTATCGAACATACGTGGCAAAGCACTGGAGCAGCGACGCGCAGTGGCTTGTGTCGGCCTCGTCTGGCTGCATCTCCTTTTGCAAGAGGAAGAACCCGACGAGTGAAAAAATGTAAATGGAGATGGCGCCGAACACAGCCGTGACTCCGAGCTTGCCCAAGTTGGTGCGCATGGCAAGGGCCTACCCGCATGATCCCAATGCATCCACGACGTGTCAATTTCTCGTACGTACGATAAAGTTGAGTCGCTTATTCGTCTCGAGGATGTCCATGAGCGGAAAGCCGAAAAACACGCTTGACCACTTGAACGGCTGCAGCGCCAGGAACGCGCAGAGCGTGTAGAACCCAAACAACATGACCGGTCCCGCAAACAGTGTATCATACAGGACGCTGTACCAAAAGCAGAATCGCGTGTGGAGCACCCCGTGCTGCTTTTGCACCATGTCTCTGTACGTGTCTGTCTCGCTGACAAGGAAGCGCAGCATCCCGGCCGCCTTGCGCAGCGCCGCCAGAAACGACAGTGTGAGCACGACTGCCGCACACGCGCCCAGCGTTTGCGTTGTTGCGTCGTCCGTCGAGTACAAGAAGATCACAATGGCAAACGTCGACCCAAACAGCTCTACGCGCGACCACCAACGTTGTGTGACGCTGCATGGAATCAACGTACGCAGGTAGTAGAAGAAGCCTGTGAATGCCGACAGCACGTTGCGGCGAATAGTTCGCGGGCTCGTGAGCTTGAGCTTGGCGAGGGTAACGTGTTGCTTGGAGTAGCTGAAGCTCAGAGTTTGCATGAAGTGGAATGCAAACAGGGCCAAGCTGGCCAGGAAAAGACCGACGCCGAGGACGTTGATGAGTTGCTTGAGCTAGTTGCATTGCACGAAGCGTGAGAGACAAGTGGGGGGCAGGAGGGCGGCCGAGGGGTCGTGTACCGTGTTGGTTTTCAACTCGACGTCGAGCAGCGCCGACGTCTTGCCGGGGGATGCCGGGTACTTGAGTGTCATGATGAGGACAAAGTTGATGTACGCACACAGGTACAAGTGCGCCATTCGGAGCTGCCAGTGCCACTCGTTCAACCACGAGTACATGCCGAGTTTTTCGAGGCGCCCCATCACGTTGAGCTCCTCTTGAATGGCCCTACAGCAGCCCCCAGCCATTCAAAATCCTCTTTCGTCGGTGGTGCATCGTTCGTACTGGGCTGGCTCAGCAATGAGCACCTGGAGCGCGTCATCCGTGCCCATGTCCATGTTGTTGAGGAACCGCCGCTTGATCGTCTTGTCAAAGTACTTGGCCGATTTGGGTTTGAGAAAGTAGACAGTGAACGACGCGCCGAGCCGAGACACTTCGACGCTCATCATTTCGCGCTGGAAAAACTCGAGGATGTCGTGGGCCTTGAACTTGGTCTTGAGCTCCTCCCACTCGACGACGAACGCCACCACGTTCGGAATCAACGCATCCTGCCCCCTCGACGAGTTCGACGTTGCTCCGGCGGGGGAGTCTGTCATGCTAGATGACGTGGCCAGGTTCGAATTGGTCATGCGAAACGCAATTTGGAGAAGATGAATAACTTCCATGAACGCAGCATCCACGTGGTCGTCGCTGCCGAGTGGTTTCGTCGCCGACGGCAGTGCAGCACCCTTCAAACCGAACCGACGCTTGCTTCCCAAGTCGAATCCCCCGCCGGACGACGGCGACGCACTCTTGAACACGATTGTTTTGTGGTGCGCGAGGATACGGTGGAGCACTCGTGACGCGGTCAGCACCTTTGCTATTGCATTTTGGACAACCATGTCTGTGCGGCCTTCCATCATGGCGAGCAAGACGTTAGCCGCGGCTCGTTGCACGCCAAGGCGTTGCTTGACCGGCACGGCGTCCTCGTACCGCACGAGACCAAGGACGAGATCCACGCACAAGTCGAGCGCTGGCGACGCTTCCAACACACGCTGGTTCTCGTCGCACGGCCCTTGGCAAGCTTCTGTGAAGAGGCCCAGGATGAGGCTGCACATGGTCGCGTCATGCTCCGACATGGCAACTTCCTTCCAGTACACATCCATGAGCTGCCTAGCGATCACGTGGAGGAACGATGACGGGTCGTTTGCGCGCATGAGGGCCTGCCACTGGCTGTGGTGGTTCTCGCAAAGCTGTTGGAGCACAACCAGCACGAATGGACTCTCGTCGCGTCGTTTTAAGTGGCGCATCAAAAACACAACGAATCGATCTTCTTGCTCAAGAATTGCGTCGTACAAAGCGTCTTGAGCAGCAACGAATCCACCCGCGATGAACTCGTACACGAGTTCCAGCAACTTGTCCTCCATTTGCGTTTGTTGAAGGGGCAATGGGGTCGAGAACGAAGATGCCACAGGTGACATGGGAACGGTTGCCCCCGACTTGGATGTCGACGGTTGCGGTGGATTCGGCGGTACCGTCAGGGCCTTATCGTCGGTCGACAGGGAAGGTCGGTGGGTGCCAGGGACGTCAGCAGGGTTGTCCTTGGGAGCGTCGAGAACAGACACAATGGAGCTCGCGGACACTGTGGCCAGGTTGCCTTGACGGCTGACCCGGTCGTCGAGAGGTCGATTTGACAGGAGCATCTTGGCCTTGGTCGCTGCGTCCAGCGGCGGGAGGAAGCTCACGATGAGATCCGCGACATTCAATCGAACGGCTTTCTTTTGAATATCACGCCACTCTTTGAGGGCATATAGCCGCAACTTGTGTCGTTTCTCGTCGTCGTAGGACAACTGGGCATCGTCGACGGCTGTGCCGCTCTGGATGGCATGGTCGGCTTGGGTTCGTTTGTCTCGCAGAAATCGAATCAACGTATCCAATTCGAGGAGCAGATAATTGATGGCCCAGTTGCCAGGCACGTGCTGCTCCCAGATTTGCACGGATGGCGCTGTCTGGATCTGCTGGAGGCGTGTCACAAGCGCCTCCATCGGATCGTCCTGCGACGGATCTTCTATCGACGACGACGCCGGTGGCGCCATGTAGTTCGATCGAGTGCTGCAACCAGACCGAAGCAGCTCAATGCCTTCCATGATCACCACCCACCAAACCGCGAAGTGGAGGTCGCAGCGGCGAGCTGCTGTCCAAGGTACTTGGCTTGAAACGATTCGTCGGTTACATGGGACAGTCAATGACGCACATCCAGGAGCCAATCAAAGTCACGAGAAGTCGAATACGCCGATTTGATTGGTGGAGCCATTGACACGTGAATTCCGGATAACGCAGCTTCAACATTGAGGGTGATTTGTTTTGTTGGTTGTATCGATGTGTCAATGACTCGATGTATCGTATCCGGATGTCTCACTTCATCGAAGCCAGCGGCACAAGTCAACATGACGTCCGTCGAGATGAAGAGTTTGGCGCGCAGCGTGGACCGCAAGGTGTACACGCCCCTGGAAGGAGTGGCCAACGGCACGAACGCCGCAGTTATGGATGATCGCCCGCTCGTTGACATCATAGCCGCGTTGAAAAACGCCCTGGACCGCGAACGCGGCAACAAGGACCTCGATTCGATCGACAGCTTGACGCATCTCCTCAGCGTCAACCGCGTCCTGCGCGACACTCGCGAAGACATCGAATCGCTCGTTGGAAAACAGTCCACCGACAAGTGGGTCATCTCGTTCGACGCGGAAACGTACGCGAAGAAACTCATGTACGCCGAGAAGCAGTTTGACGAGCTGCTCAACGACGCTGTCAAAGCCGACGTGGCTGAAATCTTGGTGTGTTTGATCAACCAAGGCATTCACGACGAAGCGTCGTTGGTCCTCTTGTACGAGCTAACCGCGGGAGGGTCCGTCGCCGTGCAAAATGCGCTCTACTACGCAACTGCTGACGCACAAGCCGCGGTGCTGGCGTTCCTCATGGGTCATCTCGAGAAGGGCTCGGCTAACATTATCAAGATCTTGCAGCAGCTGTGTGTGTACCACCACACGCAGTGGCAAGCGCTAATGCGAATTCCCGCGACTGCGACCAGCGCTTCTTTTCTCGACGTGATCCTTGCCAAGGTCGGTGCGATTTCAACCGAAATTGCCGATTCCGACGTAGCGCAAGTCATCACTTGGCTGAACTTTCTCTGCGAAGCCTGCCAAGGGCCGTGCTTGGAGAACCAGTTGCACGTGGCGTCGTCGGACGCAGTTGCCGTGATCCGCGACATAGTGTTGGACGAGATCATGCTCGATGCGTCGACATCTGAAGCCGTTCAAATTCAAGTCCAACGGAGCGCCGCAGAAGTGCTTCTAACCCTCATGGAAGGACGTGTCGACGGCGACGTTCATGCGCGTTTGGTGGTGCTTTTCCCGGTGTCTGCCGTCGTGGACCGACTGCAACGGCACTATCGCACGGTTCAAGACAAGGTGTACTCGCCGAGCCGCCGCTCGCTCATGCAGCACACCCTGAGTTTGACCAAGAGCTTGCTGCACTCGGACTCGAAGGACGAGCTCCAGCGTCATGTGCGCGAATTCCAAGCCGCCATCAACGTGCTGCGACTGGTAACTCATATTCTGCACGACAAGCAAACGTCATCGAACGACAACGCGTCCGTCGACACGTCAGCGTTCGACGCGTTCCGCGCGCAGTGGAAAGAAATGCTCGCGAGCGCCAGAGTGCACACGGCCATCTCGTTCTTCCAAAACCAGCTCATCTCGATCGAGATCGCGCGGCACGGGACGACGTTCACGTCGTACTTTTTACGCCCCAAGACGGCGCAGTACTTCAACGAGACGCTCAAGACCAAGTTAATTGACGAAATGGACATTGGAAGCGAAGGCGCGTTGGACGTGCTCACGTCTGAAGTCGCCAAGTACGTGGCACCACTGCCTCGTCGGTCGTACTCATGCTTGGCAACGTCGTTAGAGATGTGGAGGAGGAGCTGGCCGTGATCCAAGCCCTGAACAAGACCCCGTTCTACTCGATCATGAACAAGTGGAACGTGTGGCTGCGCAAGAACATGCTCCGCCTCTGTTTTTACATCAACTTTGTCATGTTGCTCAGCGTCCGCGTCGACAACAGCACGATGGTCGACATCCAGCAGGCCAACATGCGTTCGGTGGGTAGCTGGTTGTCACAATCATACGTGACACGCTTGTCCTGTGTAGGGCCTGTGGGTCGTTGGGGTGCTCGGATTTATCCTGTTTGGGTTTTGTGCCGTCTTGTGGCTCTACCATGTCCTCACGACCTTTTGCTTCAACTACTGCAAGCAGCACGTGTCGTCGCTCAAGCTCTCGTTCACGACGACTGCCGACTACTGGGCCAACACGTTGCAAGCGTTCGGTCCGTTCGCCGTTTACCTTGGTACTTTCGTTCGTGGTCTCGATGATGGCGATGTCATAGTGTCGTGATGGTAGAGTTTTTTGTGGCGATCTTTGTCGTGATCTTTTACATGGACATGGTGACAACCACGACGAAAATCCTCGGCGGTCTATCTGCGCTGTGGCTGTTTGGCGCGTTTCTCCAGGGCGTGCGCCATGCCAGCGGCCTGTATCGGTTCACCGTGAACGAGGACAACGGTGCCGCCTCCAACGTCGTGCTCAACTTCGTCTCGTTCTGGTACAACGTGTTGTACGACACGCTCCTGTCGGGCAGCGTCATCACGTTTGGCGCGTACACGCTGTGCGCGATTTGCGGCTTGGGTCTGTCCGTCCCGGCGGTGACGCAGTACTTTGATGCTGGGCCGTGGGGTCTCATGTTCTTTGGGTTCCCGCTCGTGGATATCCTTGCTACCAACGAACAGCTGCGCTTTATCGTACGTTGCGGGCACTCGAAGGGTGGTTGCCGTCGCATCACTGTGCTTGTGTAGGCCACGGCGATGCACTCGAACATGGGCAAGTTGGGCGTGACGGCTGTGTTTGGCGCGATCGTGATCTACATCTTTTCGCTGGTCGGCTTCTTCCTTCTCCAAGCCGAGCTCGAAAATGAAGACCATACTGTGAGCCACTGCTCGACGTTGCTCCAGTGCTACACAACGTACATTCGATACGGTACGGTCGTGTTTCAAAGCGCGCCAACGTCACGGTGGTGTCTGCGCAGGGCTGTTGTCGGGCGGCGGCATCGGCGACTACATATCGTCAACGCTCAACCACGAGCTCGAGTTTGATAATCCCGAGCGGTACTTTGAACGGCTCGTGTACGACATGGCGTTTTACGTGGTCGTGATCACGCTGTTCCTCAACATGATTCAAGGGATCATCATCGACGCATTCACGTCCGTGCGTGAGCAGACCGAGACGAAAGCGATGCTCCAGCGCGAACGGTGCTTGGTGTGCAATCGGTCGCGCAACGCGATCGAGCTCGACGGCGTCGACAACGGGCAGCTCAACAACTTTAGCCGCCACACGACGGACGAACACAACTTTTTTCACTACTTCTTTTACATCCAGCACGTGACGGCCAAGGACCCGAAGGAACTCAACGGGATTGAGAGCTACGTCGTCGACAAACTCAAGTCCCAAGACATGACGTGGATCCCGCGCGTGTAAGCGATATCCCGTGGCTCGTTTCGACGTGGGGTGTCGTTTGGACCTGTTGTATTGAATGAAGTACCCGTGCCTGTGGATGGAGACGCTTTGTTGAGTGGCTGGCAGGCGCCCAGCCGACATGCATCCACACCACTTATCCAGGAACGCATCGCCAACTCATGGAACGAACATCCGCGCTGGTGCTGCAAATTGTCCCTCGCAATCAAACCACCAATGTTTCCCAGAGCAGACGTGCCTGTGATCATGGCGACGAAGTCGTTGCCGTCGAGCAGAGGCACACTTGAGTCGAAGGTGGCTTTGTTTCGTTCGCGGGATGCACACACATGCCAGCGCATCACGTGCGGCGAGCTTGACGTTGGTGGCGCGGCCCATATCTACATGACGTGGGTCGCGGATAAAGCAGCCAGCAAGGGTTGATACTGAAGACGACGTCGCCATGCATGCCAAGTTGTCGGAGCAGACATGATCCGTGCGAGGGATTGGAATCGCGTGGATGGTTTCCAGCACCGTACGACGCAGAGAACCAACCTTCCAAAGCTGCTAAAATGGCATGGACCGCTTCATCGTATATGTTTCCACGTCGTCTTCATGCGCCGTCGACAAAAAACTTAAGCCCACGGCCCTGCGCGGCGAGGAATCCAAGCTGCACGACACCTCCAAGGAATTGGTGACAAACAGAGACTCCTCATATTAAACAGAACTAGCATGTGCTTTCACGCCACTCGACACGACTACATGGGCTCATCCTGGTTATACCTTCAAGAGGGGCGTTTCCTCGTTCGTGTCACCGTCATCCGCGCCAGGATACAGGACGTAATGCTGGGTAATGAAGATCACGTCAAAGAAGACACTGGTGAATCCCAAGCCAAACTTGACGGGGTCGCCCGTGATGGCAGACCAGTCGTTCGTGACGGAGCTCGTCAACATGATCTGCGCCATGGACAACGTGCCGCCCGTAAAGTCGAGCAAGACGTTCCAGATCGTCCATCCAACCGTCGACTTGCGCTGGTAATTGAGAATTACTTGGGGAATGTACTTGACCAGCGATACGCCGAGCTTGACGTAGCTGAGGAGGTACAGGAAGTTGAGCGTGGAGAACCATTCATTCGACACGATGAATCCGAGGAGGAAGAACACGCCGCTCACGATCACGGACATGCCAACAACGCTCTTGCACAGTGACGACGTGGTTTGGGTGCCGCGTGTGTAGATCGTGGTTTGGTAGTATGTGAGGAGCGTCACAAACACTGCGTGCAAGGCAAAAAACACGTCGTTGACTTGGACGGCGTTCGGGTGGCCGTCGTGGTGCTTCTTGTACTCGTCCTGGATAGCATCGCTCCAGTAGAACGCCGCGTTGAACACGGCATAGCACACAAACCCGAGGATGTTGTACACAAGAAAGTCCAGCGAGAGACCGACAACGCTCTGGCGGCGCCAATTGAGAAACACTTGCGGCCAGAAGCTGACGCTCCAGCACGCAAAGTAGACCCATCCGATCACGGACGAAATGCGGTTGTACGGCTGCGGAATGTTGTCGGTCGAATCGGTGGCAAAGCCAAGACCAATGCCCGTCGCAGCGATCACGCTGAGCCCCACAACGAAGCCATGCGTTTCAATCCAGCCGACTGTCTTTGTCAACGTTGTAGTCATCGCGGCGGCGGCGGCGGCGGGCGGCAGATTCGAATGTGACTGCATGTGGTGGAAGATCCACTTTGAACCGAAAACGAACTACCAATCACAGGCGCGAACGCGAAGGGGTCATACCACCGAAACAGATGGAGAGAGTAAATCGACTCTCCTCACTTTCCAATAGAGAATACAACTTCCATTTTCTATACTCCACGGTCGTCGTGGTAGACTAGTACTACTATTTTTCACCAAGGACGTGGTGGCGGTGCAAAGACGTCGAGACGGAAACACAGACACCTGCGAGATTCCAGCGCGTTTGTCGAGTGGGGGCGCATACACCAAACGAGACAGTGACCATTCGTTGTAGTGTCCGACAACGTCGTGGAGACGTTTGGTCTGTGTTGGACGAGAGTCGATGAGAGTGTCCTTCGCTTCTTCAAGGAGAGAATTCTGCTGAAGCTTCGTGGCTGGCTCCGCCCGCAAACTTGCCGCTCTAGCACCGATCACTCGCGGGGGTTGACGGCCTAGCGACGGCTAGCAACTGGCCCGCTGGCAATGGATCTCGCTAGCATGTTGTGCATCCAGCGCCGCTGTGGACGTCATGCGAGTTTGCACGTATCCTGTTTTGCGAGAAAGATCTGTATGGTGGTCGGTGGGTGTCGCTCTGAACTTCACCGCCAAGTGCCACGTGGAGGTCGTTTCCTGGGCATTCATCGAGCTTCGGGAAGGTCCATTTTCTTCACGCGTTGGTGTGGCCTGAGGTGCTGCAAACGCGGAGCAGAACTTGTGAGGTTGGGGACGGGTTGTCGCCACGTCGACGAGGCAACTAACAAGAGGACAAGGCTCTTTGCGTTGGCCGACTGCGGTGCCATCATGGTGTTCCCGGCGCGATGCCCAGACTTGCAGGAGAGACAGGATAGACAAAGTGAAGTTGTTTGACGACTTTTGTATGCGAGACTGGAACGCTTGGAACTCACACTAGTTTGTGATCCGATGGACTGCAAATATCGAGTCGCAACGTGGTGGAATCGGTAAAGGCTCCCTTCTTCATCGTCCGCAAGTTTAAGCGATGTCGCTTCTCTTGAATTCGGGGGCAAAACGAAAACGAAACCCCACCACCACCAAGACGCCGGTACACGATGGGGTTCGCGGCAAGGTCAGCCTCCGCGTGTTTAACTTGGCGCGAGCATCACGCGAAGCCATGAAACGTTTCTAACGGGGCATTGCTAGGGGGCTCAATTGGAGATTGGTCGTGACTCCCCAAGCAAACCCTCGTGACTTGGAAGCACATGGGCGCTGCCCTTCTACCACAGCACAAACAGTGTCGCGGAGATTTTGACGAACTGTGCGATGATGACGAACTGCGAGGGGTGGGTTTGAGAGTTTTGTCCAATGAGACATCACGAAAAGCTTTCAAGACAATTGATTCGCTAAAATAGATTGGAATCGAATTTCAATTAAGATTCGATTGCTGAGCGAGTTGTGGTGCATGTCCCGACGGCTGCGCCATCGAAAGCAACAGCCACCGTCCATACCCAGTCGGTGAGCGCACCACCTAGCTTAGAGAATGAACTTCCCGTGGTGGGTCTGAGCCGTCACGCGGCTGTTAGACCAAGTCAAGGGGGACGAGGATTTGCATCACGAGCTGGCAGAGCCAACACTATTTGCCACGCGCCCAAGACAGTGTTTTCATTGCTGCTATTCGACCGCGAGTCGAATAATGGCATGAGCCGCACGGTAGATTGAATCGAGAGGCTCGCGGAAGGTCGAAGTGGCAGCAGATCGCGTTGGTCGTTGAACTTGTGGACGAGTCGATTTGTTCAAATTCCATCGTGCCATAGCCACACTTTCCGATGAAATCGATGGGCTGGATATATTCAGTACGGATCACACTCACATTAAAGGATGGTTTAAGAGTTACGAGCTTTGAACGCTTGGTACTCAGGCTCCTTGGTGATCGCGTTGGATTGCAAATTGGCTGCGGCAATGCGGTGCGTTCGGAACGCGTTTCCTTCTTGCTCCGATCGCAGATTCAATTGAAGGCGCTTCTCGCGGCTGATCAATACATCCGGGCTCACGGACAAGAAGCGTACACCTCCGACAACAGCCATCGCCCCAGCAAATCCCAGGATTCCAATGATCGGGTACGTGGCAGGGTCCGAGAACCAAGCTTTGGCGGTAGTACGGGCAGCTCGAGAGGCCATGGCGACTGTCGGTGTCGGATTCGAGAATGGCTCTTGTGTGGCGCCCCAAACCCATGTTGAACTAAGGTTCGGTTTTTGGATCTTTGTTAAATTGCGCCAATCAAATGCAAGAACATGCTGCCCTTGGATTCTCTCGAAGTTTTGATGTCGACAGGTGGATTTGCAAACATTTTAGCAAATCAAATCAGCTCATTTTCGTTCGACAACGTTTGATTCGCTAAAAACTGTCTTGCCTTGCATCACATCACGATGCCTAAAATTCTCCCGAATCGAATCGAAGTGGATCAGAACACCACCCCCCGTAAAGCGCGAGAGAAAATGCGCTGGTGGCTGTGACTACGTACACACCGCCATCACAATAGCCATCGCCCTCCGCAGCGAAGCGCGGTGCACAACTACTGGAGATGGCACCATGGTCGCTCCCTTTACAAATGATATCCTAATTAGACATCCATTTCGGTTCAATCCCTAATTTCAAAACAGTGTGGACGCTTGACGCAGCAAAACTCGCCCGGTTCACAAATGTAGTGCAATTTACTCACAAGAATCGCTCTTCCGTCCGTATCAATGCGGCGATTTCGAAGCAAAATCGCGTGATCGATTTTGTGCAAAGTACTTGATGAGAGATGCGTCAA